ACTACTTACTTTAAAGAAATTTCTCTTCTTAAAATATGATCCTAAATATGACTAGTGCTAGTGATTTACTTGTGTCAAGAAAAAAGAAAGCTTTAATTAAAAAAAAAAAAAATAGAGTTAACAAGGAATCAGAACTTTCTATTTTTAGTGCCAGTGAAAGCACCTAGGAGATCCTTTCAATATGTCTACGAGTCTCAATTATTTCTAAATCTTTTAATTCGATCTGCTTCTCTTCAGTTAAACACCATTAAAGATAAGTAAAAACTCTAGCTATTCTTACCTTATTTTTTACTTTAATTATTAGTAGTCACAGTATTACTTTTTCCCATTTTATTTAAGTTTTATATCACCTGGCTGCTAACTGAAAGGTCAGTAGTTTGAATCCACTAGTCGCTCCTCAGAAACTCTATGCAGCAGTTCTATCCTATAGGGTCGCTATGAGTCAGAATCAACCGGACGGCAATGGGTATGGGGATAAACAGACTTTTAGGGTCCTTTATGTCTGGGGTTTCCTGGAACGCTAATGACCACTCACAAAATCTTTTCTGTGGTAAAATATTCAGGGTTGCTGGAATTTTTGGTATTTTAGAACGAAACTGCTGATAAGAATATGTGTACTCACTATAAGCTTTTCATTGCACAATCCTCCAACTGTATTCCCCAACCAAAATATGTAAGAAAATATAAGAAAAAATCTTTGTGTTTCTATTTTGTTCTCTTTAAGTTTTAGAGATATATTCTTCTGCATTACTCAAGGAAAAGAATGTTTATTGGCTTCTAAAATTCAAAAAGTTGCTCATAATTTAGACCTAAATGCAATACTACAGATGTCACAGTTTTCTTCTCCTCAACTGGAAATTTAAGAGAATGGAAAAGGCAGATGCAGGTTAAGTGCTTTCTATCTGTAATCTTATTTAATCTTTACAACAATCTTGGAAGTAGGTATTATTGTTCCCATTTTACAGATGAAAAACTAAGGCTCAGAGAGGCTAAATAAGTTCTCCTGAATACGTAGCCTTTTGATGTTACTATGAGGAGCCTTGGTGGCGCAGTGGTTAAGCACTCAGCTGCTAACCAAAAGGTTGGCAGTTTGAACCCACCAGCTGCTCCGTGGGAGAAAATTGTGGCAGTCCATAAAGATTACAGCCTTGGAAACCCTATGGGGCATTTCTACTTTGTCCTGTGGGGTCGCTGTGAGTCAGAATTGACTTGACGGCAATGGGAATGGGATGGGATGTTATTGTATTGATATGGGAGCATTTTTGATAATTTAGAAATAAAATAATTAAAATGTCAGCTTCTAAAAATTACCAAAGAATATGAAAGGCTAGTGTCCTTAGCCTGTGTTTGACTCCTAGCTCAGATTTAGGGGTTAGCACAGAGTAAGGGTCAGAGATAGGGCAATGGTTGGAGCTGGAATAAGAGTTTGAGATGGACTAGGTCATGGAGGGGATGAGAGACAAAGCTAGCGTGAGTCTTGGGTGGAGCTAGAGGTCAGGGATGTGTCTCGTATATTAATTAGTAATGAAGCTCGGTGATTCCCTACTTTGATACAGTGGCTTTGATGCAACCTTCTTAAAATACACTCCTCAAAATGCCTCATTAGTTAAAAATGTCTGATTTGATTTTCCAAGTTCTAAGTGGCAGACCCAGAATCTGAACTATTGTCTCTGACCTCAAAGCTTGTCTTCTTCCTACCACACCATAACTATCAAAAATAATTGTCAATTCTAATATGTTATGACAACCATCCCCTCACAGTTGCATACATTTTGAAACCAAAACTAATATGACAACAATGTCCTTCCTACCTGTTGTATCTTGTTTATTAGATAGGCATAGAGAAATGCAAATGTCCCCTGGTATTATCACAGATGCAATCATTCAACAAATCTCAAGTAAATGTATTCTCTTAGTGATCTTAAAATATATGTAAGAGGTTTTAAAGACTATTTTAAAAACCTAAATCAGACTTAGGTTCTGATTTCAGATACTCTGTATGGAAGAAGGGGAATTACTATAATAATTAGAAGCAATTCATTTCTCCACTGAAAAAAGTGCTTTAAGTGACACGCTGTCAAGGCAAATTGACTATAGTTCTTCTGATGAAAAAGCAATTGTCCAAGCTTTCCCTGGAGAACACTCTCAGTAACAACAATCCATCCTCATGGAAAGTCATGAGTTAGAAAATGAGAACCAAATGAACTCACAGCTGGGAAAAGCCAACAATAATTAATTTAACACCAGCCGTTTGTACAGAACATGTATACATCTCAAAATTTCCCTGGACAGACACAAGGTCATTGAAGGGCAGAGTTCACATATTTAAATGTGCTTAACGAGATTGTACTTAATAAGATAATGTGCTCCAAAGGTTTTACATTAGGACTAGGAGGTTATGATAAACAGTTGGTCAATACCATCACTTGAATTACAAGTGTTTGTGAAAAATATTGCTAAAATGAATTCTCATTGAATCTTGGACGATATACTCAACAGCAGCAGAGAAAAAACAGTGTCATTAAAACGGGCTTTATTCTGACTCATTGGCTAAGAAAATGGGAACAGTTTGAGATCTTCCATGTTGTTTCATTTTAATGAGCAGTGAGCATTTTTCATGTCCTTATTAGAGTAGTTAATGTGTTTCTCTAGTCTCATTATCACTGCCAGAGTATACTCTCTGTTGTTTCACAACCAAGACAACTCCTTTTCATTTCAGGGAAGATCAGAAAGTCAAATCTGATTGCTCACATGTGGTTGTTAATAAAACTCCTACGGTGCTGCTCAAGGTGTCCATGGGGACTGTATAGTTATTCATATTTTCTTATGGTTTTCTATAATTACTGTGATTGTACTTTCACAAAGTAAATGTATCTCTACCAATTAAAGTACTGGTGGCTTAAGAATATTCATCAGACTTGTGTGAAAGGATATTGTTCTTAGGGTTTTGATCAAAGCACAGAAATTAAACTGCTGTTATCATGCATTCAACCCAAGCGTTAAATTAAAACGCTCAGCAACTTTGGAGTTTATCTGAGCAGATGTTAACTATTTATGAAAATAAACATTATACAGGACTTGCATTCATGATATGACTCTTTGTTGTATTAAAAGTACTGGAGAGAAAAACTACCACACAAATTTGAGGGATACAGTTTATGATAAATGACCAATCTGAATTACTGCTAATTCAGGTCAACTTAAATTTTCAGAAACAGAGAATTTTAAGAAATCGCATGTCGGTCTACATATTTATATCTGCTTATTTGTTCCACCTCTTTCTTTTGAAGGCTCCAGAACTAAGAACTAATATCCATAAAAACAGCATCTGCGGATATCAAATAAAAAACACACAATATAACCTCTCATACTTTGTCACGTAGAAACTTCACTCTATCTCGTTTGACAGTGCTCGCAGCCAAAGTGACCAGCCGTACTTCCATTCCATTAGCTGTCATTTTGATGTTAGAATTTTACCCTGCTGTGTGCGGGATGTGACTGTACATGCACAATTCCCATCAAAGGTAATTTTCTGTGCAACGATGTGTAAAATTTACCTCTAATTATGATAAGGTCACTGATGGGTCATTTATGATATGCTCTCTGGAGACAATTGCAGTGAATAGCTTTTGGCTAGATTCATCTGGAGAAATTAAACTGGTCTGACCATGACTCAATAGAAAGTAAAAATCTCTTAGAAGATTATTCCTCAATTATGCTTAAAGTCCTAAAGGAACCTAAAGAGGGGAAGTGTGCACAGTGGCGAAGGTTGTGGGCTTTGGAATCAGAGCAACCTGTTTATTCCAGGATCTCTGGGCCTAGAAGGTCTGGTGTGATCTGGTCCCTGCACATCTTTTGGCCTCTGTTCCTGACATTTGCTCCCTCACTATTTGGGCTCTAGCATCACTGGCCTCCCCTAGTCTTTAAACATGCCTTGGTCACTCTTGCTCTGGGGTCTCGGCACTCCAAAGTTTTCTGTATTTGGAATGCTCTTCCTATAGATCTTTGTATGACTGAAACTTCCTTGTTCTTCCACTGTCCAGTCAAACATGGTCTCCTCTGAGAAGCTTCTTATGAGTTCCCTATCTAAAGTACCACCTCCAGACCCCAGTTGCTCATTATCATATCATCCTACTGATAACAGTCTGAAATTATTTTTTTACCTTTTAATTGTATAAATAAATGTGCACATGATTTTACAAGAAAAAAATCTAACTATAAAGGGTATCTTGACTAGAATATTCCACAACTAACATTAACCATATGAGTCAAATACAGCTTGATAAAATGGATTAACAAGGAGATCTTAATAAATTGAAAAACAAAACAAGTAAAACTAGAAAAAACAGTTGCCGTCGAGTCAATTCTGACTCACAGCAACCCTACAAGACAGAGTAGAACTGCCCCATAGGGTTTCCAAGGCTGTAAATCTTTACAGAAGCACACTGCTACATGTTTCTCCTGTGTAGAGGCTAGCGAGTTTAAACTGCCAACCTTCTGGCTAGCAGCTGAGAGCTTAACCACTGTGCCACCAGAGAGCCTATATTAATAAATTAGGGATGAAAAACTTATTGGACTTTATATAAAGACTGCATGAAAACAGAACTACTCATGAGAAATTTTATTAAAAAAGTCACTAGAACCAAGTCATTTTTCACTATGATCCTTGTGGACCTCCATGCAGGGATAATATGGTAGTCCTTTTACTTACTTTTTGAAGAGGGTTTTTATATATAACTGTGTGACATGAAATTTTGAGATTAATAAATATATTGAAATTTTATATTATTTACATGTTTCAGTATTTCGTGTTTAGTCCTCCTTCCCAAGACCTCTTACTTGTAGACATAATGCTGACTTCTCAAATGGTTCATGCTTCGTAAATGTTTGTCAACAAATGGTTAAATGCTAATGGACTCGAAAATTATCCTCCTGTTGTAATTCGTAATGTAAAGTGTAATATCAACAAAAAATCACAATAATAATGATGAAATCCTCACCAAAGAGTCCAGTCATGGCCACAGTATGGCTGAACATTTCCAAGGTAGAATCCCAGAGATTGAGTGACTTCTACAAGATTGGTAAAGTCCAGACTAATGCTGTTGAAAAGCACAGATGTCATGATAATCTCATCAATAGCCCATACATCTTCTCCCTGGGAAGAATAATATGGTTGCCACCATCTGAACTGAATTCCAAATTGTCTTGCATCATCTGGTAATTCTACCGAGATTATTCTAAAGAAAAAAATAAAAGTCAAAATTCAGATTACTTTCGTATCTTAAAACAACACAAGGCTTTATAGCAGAATATTTTTTCCCCTTGAAGTACAGTATTTAAAAATAAACAGTTCTCCCACTGTCGCAAACATTCATTTGAGATTTCTAGTTTCTTGTTTGACTCTGACGACATCTACTGAACACCTTCCAAAATGTGAATTTTCTTCCACTCATTTGCTCTTCAAAAAGCTAACTCAATGAAACATAGTTGTCCAAAGTGACAGGATTCATCTTAGTCTAGCAAAGGATCTTGGATAGTTGGTTACATATATTACAGCTTTGGTCTGGTTGGAACCAGGGTATTTCCTCATTACCATGAGTTCAGCACAGTGTGTGAGGTCACTTGTTGTGTCATATTGGCTATGACAACAAACTGGTACCTGACAAACGGGGAAGAAAATTAGAATAATATCTAATTTCCAGGAGCAATTATTGTACACAGCAGCAGAAACCACACATTAATTGTCACTGCAGTGACATCTGCTTGAAAGCTCCATAAATCACATTACCTTGCTGCTCACACCCATACACAAGGTGAGATATGAAGCAAATGACAAATGGAACATTTGTCTCCATCAATGTACAATTAAACACTAGGAGAGGTGCCTGCAGTAAACACTCACTGGAGGGACTGAGATTTTTTTTTTCCTAGTGAAGAAAGATAAACTTCTTAAGACAAGTAATTAGCTGGACAATTTAAAAATAAATTATTTAAAATTTTCAGTGTCTAAGGCTGGATTTACTGAGAAATTAGGTTAATTTCCACATTTTTATTATGTTTTATTTTTAGTTATTGTATAAAGAAAAATGTTAAGTTGCATTTTGGAAATTTATTTTTACACACTGAAAGTTGTACAAAAATGTTGCACCAATTCTCTTTGGTACAAAATATATTTATTTATTTCTCCTTCAGATAATCTGCTCTTGGTAATATGGGGTAGAATAACATGACCATCACCTCTGATTACATAAAAAATAAAGAAACTGGGGGGACTTTCAGCAATGTGCAAAAACATATTTCATAAAAAATGGAAAATCAATATGCAAACACAGAAATATAAATTAAAAAACACTCCTTAAACTAAAAAGACACAGTTACAGTATATTTGTAGCTTATTTGTAGTTTTGTAATACTTTTCACAATTTGATAGATTGTTTTCTCCAATGTGAATTTTTTATTAGAAGAAAATTGTAAAGTTCAAACTAAATATTTTGCTAAATTTTACTTTATTTTTCTTAAATCTTACTTTGTTAAAAGAATTAAACTACATTCAAACTAGTTCAACAATGAAAACATCATGCATTAATTTAATAATTTAATTTGACTAGTGCTAGGACTAACATGTGCCTGACCCAAGCCATGATATTTTCAAGCGCCTCATATGCATGTGAAAGCTGGACAATGAATATGGAAGACCAAAGAATTGATGCAGCAGATTTGCCCAATGCAGTAATACATCCTTTGAGTTCTTGACTGCTGCCGCCATGGGTGTTGATTGTGGATCCAAGTAAAGTGAAATCCTGGACAACTTCAGTATTTCCTGTGTTTATCATGATGTTGCTTATTGGTCCAGTTGTGAGGATTTTTGTTTTCTTTATGTTGAAGTGTAATCCATACAGAAGGCTGTGGTCTTCGATCTTCATCAGTAAGTGCTTCAAGTCCTCTTCACTTTCAGCAAGCAAGGTTGTACTGTGCCATCTGCATACTGCAGGTTGTTAATATGCCTTCCTCCAATCCTGATGCCATGTTCTTCTTCATATAGCCCAGCTTCTCAGATTACCTGCTCAGGATACAGCTTGTCAGATACAACTCTGACACACATCTTTTCTAATTTTAAACCATGCAGTATTCCCCTTGTTCTGTTCGAACAACTGCCTTTTGGTCTATGTACAGGTTCCACAAGAGCACAATTAAGTGTTCCAGAATTCCATTCTTTGCAATATCATCCATAATTTATTATGATCCACAAAGTCGATTGTCTTTGCATAGTCAATAAAACACAGGTAAAGGTCTTTGTGGTATTCTCTGTTTTAAGCCAAGATCCATCTGACATTAGCAGTGATATCCCTTGATTCACATCCTCTTCTGAATCCGGCTTCAGTTTCTGGAAGTTCCTTGTTAATATATTGCTGTGTCCATTTTTTAATTATTTTCAGCAAACCTTCACTTGCGTATGATTATTAATGATCTTGTTTGATAATTTCCACATTCTGTTGGGTCACCGTTCTTTGGAATGGACATGCATGTGGATCTCTTCCAGTTGGTTGGCCAGGTGGCTGTCTTCTAACTTTCTTGGCATAGATAAATGAGAACCTCCAGCGCTGCATCTGTACTTTGAAACATCTCAATTGGTATTCTGTCAATTCCTGGAGTCTTGCTTTTTGCCAGTGCCTTCAGTGCAGCTTGGACTTCTTCCTTCAGTATCATCCGTCTTTGATCCTATGCTACCTCCTGAAATGACTGAACGTAGACAATCCTTTTTGATACAGTGACTGGGTATTCCTTCCATCTTATCTTGACACTTCCTGTGTCTTTCAATATTTTGCCCATAGAATCCTTCAATATTGCAATGCAAGGCTTGAATTTTTTCTTCAGTTCTTTCAGCCTGAGAAATGCCACGTGTGTTCTTCCCTTTGGTTTTTATAACTCCAGGTCTTTGCACATTTCATTATAATACTTTACCTTGTCTTCTCAAGTTGTCCTTTGAAATCTTCTGTTCATCTCTTTCACTTCATCATTTCTTCTGTTTGCTTTAGCTACTCTACTTTCAAGAGCAAGTTTCAGAATCTCTTCTCACATTCATTATGATCTTTTCTTTCTTTCCTGTCTTTTTAAAAAAAATTTTTTTACTGTACCTTAGGTGAAGCTTTACAGAACAAATAGTTTCTCATTAAACAGTCAGTACACATATTGTTTTATGACATTGGTTAACAACCCCACGACATGTCAACACTCTGCCTTCTC